TATTTGTCTATGTAGTACAATACAAGAACTATTTAAGATGATTTATGACGAAAGTATCTAATGAAATGGGTCAGAAATGACCGAGATATCGAGCTCGCTGTTGGCAACAATGAACGCGAAGGTTTGACAGCCGGCGGCGGACATATGCGGTCAAGTGCCGCAGTGGTGGAAAGCAATCAGCAAGTGTGGGAACGTGCCGACGACCTCCGATCGCAACGACGAGCACTTACCGTTTTCGGGGACTTAGACGATTTCCTCGTTCAGACATTATTCGGGCAATTACTGCCAGTGTGTGGCTATCGGCATTTCGAAGCTAATTAGCTATTTCTACACGGGGTACGGACACTAGCTAATTAGCTAAGTAAGACGTGATGACGAGGTGAACTTCAGTACAATTGCGGTACAGAAGAACATATTCAGAACATATTCAGTTCTATTTCAGACCAATTTGGGGTCTAAATGAAGTAGCTGACATATGTACTACAATTGTACTACATATGTTGTACATATGTGCTGCATATGAACTGTATATGGACTGAATATGTAGTGCATATGTACTGCAAGTGTCCTACATATGTGCCGGCACTATCAAGGCCTGCACTACCACTTGGTCTCATCTGTAGATCATCTGGCAAAGGGATTCTTTGCTGCTGGAAAAGATGTGGAAGGTATACAGAACATGACAGATGCAACAGACAAAGACTTGCAAGTGGAATTGTGAGGACGGGTGATGGACGGTACAGATTAATAGGCGGAAGGACTGATGTGTGACTTAGGGATTGACACAGTCCTGATATCCCATGTTCAAAACAAGCTTGTTGTGCACCCAATATGTCATTTCGCTGTCTCATTTTGCTGTAAATTAGTGATGGTACACATTGGGTGTAAGGAGAACCCCCTAGAGTACCTTGTACGCTTTTTCTTTTCTACTTATTTCACAATCCTTTGCCTTATCTTTTACTTACACCTTTATGTTTCACTTATACTTCGACGTGCATCGCATTTCTGCCCTTTATTTGACAAGCTTAGTGTGGCATCTGCTGGGCTCCCGGCGCTAAATCGACCATCCAGTAAGCGCCGGAAGCGCCCATAGCACATGCTTCTCCAGCCACTTCTGTTTTAGGCATGTACACCCCCCATATGATTTATTTGTGTACTGTACAGTTCTTGCTTTGCTTTCCAACTCCAACGACTAGTGTCGTACCGAGAGCGAGAAGGCTGCCGGACAATAAGTCCAACAGAGAGCAAGAGTGACGGAGGGGACGGATCACACAAAGGCAAGGCGGAGGGACTTAGAGAGATTCAGACGAGAGGTAGAAAGACTTTTGTAGATTGAACTAATAGTCAGACTGAGGTTTACAAGGCGGACTAGCTAGCTTTTATACGACGGAGGCCAGGGACAAAACAGATCGTAAGATCCAGGAGGCTATGAGAGAAGGGACGATGAAACAGTAAGTAACATATGGCGAAGGTCTGGTGGGCGGATAGCCGGACGGATATATTGTGTGTATAGGTAAGAAGTGGAGTAGAGCATATGGATGAACTAAGGGAAGCCAAGCAGATATGTTTCAGTAACTAATATGGATGGATGATGCGGAAGATATCCGGAAGGTGACGGATGCAACTGACAAAGACTTGAGCGAAGGTTAACGAGGACAGATGACGGAAGGTACAGGCGGATGAGACGGACACGTAGCTTAGGGGTCGGCACAGTCCTGACATAAAGGCACCTCATTGTTGTAAGGTACGGATGCCAGTGTCGGGATGCCAGCAGGCACTTCTCGCGGGATGTGACCTGGCACTTACACGACTTCTCAAGCATTCCAGCCATCACATAGATACATGCACTGCGGGCACCCAACTATCTTTCCGCCCGAAAAACTGCGTGAGAAAAAGGGTTTGTAGTTTCCGGCAGGTTTTCCGGCCGGGAATACTTAGAGTTTTCTGGCCAGCAAAATGGCAGAAATAATATGCATTTTTCAATAGTCTTGCTGAGAGAAAGATGCTGAGTTTTCCCTTGCATTCTGGAACTGTCGAAACCACCGGAAAATGATTTGTTTTTCCCGTGACAAAAACGTAACATTTTTTGGGTGGTTTTTCTGATAGAAAAATGCCAAGTCTTTCGAAAGGTTTTCTGCCGGAAATCCTCAAAGTTTTCTGACATTAAATCAAGCATTACCTACCAATTTCCCACCAGAATAACGGAGAAATGCGGAAACCCCTCCGAAAAACTATGAGGATTTCCTACTGAAATACCGTTCGAAAAACTTGACATTTTTCCGTTAGGAAAACCCTACAACATCTTCCACTCAGCAAAACTGCGGGAAAACTCATACTATTTCTACAATTTTACGAGCAGAAAAAATCTACGCATTCCTGACAGGAAAACCCGTCAGAAACTACAAACCCTCTTTCCCACGGGGGTTTTCGGGCAGAAAAATAGTTGGGTGCCCGCAGTGACATGTACTTGCGAAAGTCACCCATTTTGACCATAAATATAATTTATTAAGTATTCTATACTACATATTAACAAATAAAAGGGAGCCGGCACACTCCCCTGTGCCGGCTCGGGTGGTCATAGTGCCAGATAATATGAAAACAAAAATTGAGAAAAAAAACCTTGGGGGACACATTATGCGAGGGCGCACCCTGCTCGTGCGTGTGTGTGCCTCACGACACGGTGGTGATTGCGCGTGCGCGCGATGGGCGTGTGCGCGTGATGGCGGGTGTGCGCGTGGTGGCGGCGGGTGCGTGGTGGCGTGCGTGCCTACGTGCGCGAGATGGCCGGTGGGCGTACGCCGTGCGTGGTGTGGTGGTCGCGCTGTCGTTGTACGCGCGTGGGTCGTGGGGTACGTGCGTGCGTGGTGGCGGCGTACGTGTGTGCGCTTGGGGGCGTGGTGGCGCGTGGGTCGTGGGGTGCGTGCCCTTGGAGGCGTGGTGGCGCGCGTGCGTTTGGCGGCGTGCATGGTGGCGCATGTGCCTGCGTGCGCGAGATGGCGGGCGGGCGTACGCGCGTGGGTCGTGGGGTGTGTGCGTGCGCGCGCGGCTCCCGCTCCCCCGTGCTCCTCGTTGTCCTCGTCGTCGCGTCCTCGTCCTCGTCGTCGTTTCGTCGTCGTCGTGGTCGCGTCGTCGTTGTACACGTGGTGATGGTGGCGGTCGCGTCGTCGTGGCCTGAGCGAGCTGGCGGCTTGCGCGCGGGCGTGCGCCAGTGCCTGGGTGGGTGCGCGCGGGCGTGCGCTTCGGTGCGTGCGTGCGTGCGTGCGGTGGTGGGGTGCGTGCGGGCGTGTGCGCGCGGGTGGGGTGGGGTGCGTGCACGCGCGTGGTGTGGACGGCGTGCGGGCGTGGTGGCGGCGTGCGGGCGTGTGGGGTGCATGCGGGCGTGCGCGTGGTGGTGGCGTGCACACGCGTGGTGTCCTCGCGAGCTTGGGCGCGTGCGCGCGGGACGGCGGCGTGCGGCGTGTGCGTGGGCGTTGGGTACGCGTGGGCGTTGGGTACGCGTGGGCGTTGGGTGCGCGTGCGGGCGTGGTGGGCGCGCGGGCGCGGGTGTGCGCTTGGGCGCGGGTGTGCGCTTGGGTGCGGGTGTGCGCTTGGGCGCGGGTGTGCGCTTGGGCGCGGGCGTGGGTGCGTGCTGGCGTGCGTCGACGCCTGGGTGCGTGGGTGCGGGCGCGGGCGTGGTGGGTGCGCGCGTGTGGTGGGTGCGGGCGTGGTGGCGTGCGTCGGCACCTGCGTGCGGGCGTGGTGGGTACGGGCGGGCGTGGTTGCGTGCACGCGGGCGTTCGCGTGGGGTGCGGCGCGCGTGCGCTTGGGTGGGCGCGTGCACGTGGGGTGCGGTGGGTGTGCGCATCGCGACGCGGTGGTGGTGATGGTGGTGATGGTGGTGGTGGTGAACAGTCAATAATATAAAAAAAAGAAAAAAAACACGCACCTAGGGGGCACATTACGCGCGCCCCCGTCGGTGCCCTGCTCGTCGTGCTCGGTGGTCTCGCGTGCGCGTGTGGTGTGTCCGTGCGTGCGCGCGGGCGTTTACGTGGGGTGCGGCGCGCGTGGGTGGTCTCCCGCCCCTTCCCGCCTTTCCCCTCGTCCTCCCGCTCCTTTGTGCTCGTCGTCGTCGTCGCTCCGCGCTCGTCTTTGTCGCTGTTGTTGTTGTCGTCGTTGTTTCGACGTTGTCGTCGTCGTGGGCGTGGGCGTGGTCGTGTTCGGGGTTGTCGTCGTCGTCGTCGCTCGTGGTTGTGGTTGTTGTCGCGTGGTCGTGGTTGGTCGTTGTCGCCTCGTCGTGGTTGTTGTCGTGGTCGTTGTCGGTGGCTGGCACGTTGTCGTCGGTGCGGGGAAGGGGATGGGTGGGTGGATGGGCGCAGGGAAGAGAGGTAGCAGAAGGGCAGAGGGTTCGGCGCAATGCGGGGCGGAGTTTGAATTTGTCCGCAGCAGTACTACTTGTCGCACTGAGTAGGGGCCAATAGTACGGACTTATGGCCTAATGGTTCAGAGCGCTGTTTCTGATCATGTGACTTGTGCCCGCAGAGGTTGCTGGTTCGACTCAAGTTACTGCCAAAATGATAATATGCTAAATCATTCTTTTTGCTATAAATCAGTAACGGTACAGCTGAAACATGCGTTTCAAATGTACAAATGAACGGAAAATGGACCGAAATTGAATCATCTGAGCCACATATGTTCTACATATGTACTGAGGCAATATTCAGATCAAATTCAGTGCTGTCAGCACATATTCAGTCCAGATGGTTCAGATTCAGATCTGACTGTCAAATGTAGTTCATATGTACTTTGTCACTACATGATTCAGAGATCATATATGTATTCAGTACATATTGAGTGCATATGTGGTACAATTGCAGTGCACTTTCAGATATGTACTACATATGTAGTACATATGTTAACGTGGCTGAGTGTAATGTCCTCGATGTGCCCTTATGCGGCAAGGTCATCGACCGACTTCTCCCTTTCCGTCGCGGAAACGACTAATTTAACTAATCCCGAGCACGATGCAGCACAGTCTGGCGGCATGGAGCGTCTCCGCTCCTGAAATCACCATTGCTCTCAACGCTAAGGGGACGCAGCTGAGGACAAAACCTTCCAAGTCCACCATCCGACTCCGGAATCGACTAGCCAACAAGAGGTGAGTTGTTCGTCTCACTCAACTCAGTTCCCTTACAGTCTTCAAGCCCTGCAGAAGTGGACAACTTTTGGAAGCAAAAGTATGCACGTTCTAAGTCAAAACTCAAGTAAGAACGCTCCCTGTCTCAGGCATTTTGCCTAACTTGACCCTCACATCCAGCAGGTCAAAAGTGCCTCAACCTACGGACGTCTCCTCGCAAACAGACGTTCCTACGGCCTCGGATTTAACTTTGTCCCCATCGCCTACTGCTACAGCTACAGCGGACCTTCAATCACGCGCACCGACGCCCACACCGAAACCAACGTTGGAGCCGGGTCCTTCAGACGGAGTCGACCCTTCGACGAAACCTCTCGACGGGCCTTCGGAGGATCAGGCAACGCCCGTTCTTGAGCAGGACCTTCAATCACATGCACCGACGCCCACACTGAAACCATCATTGGAGCCGAGTCCTTCAGACGGAGTCGACCCTTCGACAAAACCTCTCGACGCGCCTTCGGAGGATCAGGCAACGCCCGTTCTTGAGCATGACAGTCCTCCTGCTTCTCAGCCAGGATCACCTTCGACTACGCCCCTTCCCAGCCTGAGAAATCCGTCCTCCACACGGTCCCCTTCCCCTACGTCTTCCGATACATCTTTAGGCGGCGACCGTAAGGCTTTACTCCAGTCACTGGCTGCACAGGCAGACATTCTTCTAGAAGCAGTAGAGAATTGGAGAATCTCCGAAGATGTCACCAATCTACTCGACTCACGGCTGAAGGCAGCGTCAAATTTGCTGAGGCAGCCGACTGGGGTAAAAAAACGTCTTGAGTTTCTGAGTCATTTGGAACACATTGGACGAGTCGTGGATCAGAGCGCATTCCTCGAGCGCTCACCTTTACAAGCAGTTCACAGCCATGGTTATCTACATTCCCAAGAAATATTTGAAGCAGGTTGTTCTATCCATTGGCACGTTGGAAGACGCCAAATTTTAGTCGGCCTGACGGGACTTTTGTCTGGAGTGCGGGATTGGCTTTCGCAACCGTCGCCGACCTTGACGGCAATTCTTAACCTGGTATTTTCTTTTCTCTCGCTCTCAAGCCCGAACTACACATGGGTTAATGTATTCTTTTATTTTCGAGATCATCGATATGACGAACAACAATTACAGTCATGGGTTCATGAATGCCACCCAAGTGAAACGTTTGAAGTCAGGCAGTTGGCTGTCAGATGACATGATCGACTACGCTTTGGGTAAATCTCTCCGATCATTAGTGACAGTGCGTGAATTGAAAACTGGGCAGGCAATTTTCGTTGCGAGGATGCCGTTGTGCACGGAGCAAGCAAGGACATCCTCATCTGCTCGTCGGGGCTTATGCCTTGCATGGCTCGACTCGCAAGAACAACTGTGGATGTTGACAGCTTGGACGACAGCGACGACGACGACGAGAACTCTGGGAAGCTTGATCAGGAGACAGTCAAAAGTTTGTGCGCTTTGGAAACAGTAGGTCGAACGGTCTCTTATCCAAGCGTCGCTGAAGCTGACACCAGTTCATATGAAGGTCTTCAACCGCGACGTCCTCAGGCATATTCGAAAGATTATTTTGCCTGTATGCACAGGGGATCACTGGATCCTTGTACATTGCAATTTGGCAGACCTCGTTATCGACATTCTGGACAGCCGATCCAATAAGGTGCCCAAGAGGGCCCAAGGAAAGCATTATTCTATATACATTGAAGTATGTTTTATTCGTTCCCTTCAGCTTGGGGTTAGGATAAATCATGAGCACAGCGCTTTTGTCTTTGGCTCAAGATGCTGATTGATAAGTATGTTCTTCCGTTTGAGGATCCAGTGGAAAACTCCACACTGTGGACCCTGAAGACTCCCTTCGCTGTGGCCAAAGCTAATTGCAATGTTCACGAAGACGTACATATCTTTTCCTTCGCATTGATCAGAATAAAATTTGACTGAATTGTTCTTCCACAAGTTCCCTTACCAGAAGAATGACAACGACTGCGGTCTGTACGTGATCAAGTTCGCAGAGCACTTACTGAACGGAGAGACAATCAACCACGACGACGTTCCCAGGCTCAACTACATCTTCACCTGATTGGACCTCTCTGGACCACGTCCGACTCAGACTTTGGATGGACTTACCGAAGCTTGAAAAGGACTGGATATTCATTCCAGAAATTATTCGAGATTATTCTCTTTACGAAAAGTACCTGTAAATATTCTTTTCAACTATTTTCTATTTTTACTTTGTTTTGCCCATGGCCACGATTTCTGTACCTTTCATTTGAGCCAGAGTTCATGAGTTAGTTGGGAATATTCATTGTGCTAGCTGTACTTGATGAGGTTATTAGAGATTTGCTCGTGAACAACAAGTGCTATTCAGCCAATCAAATGCTGGTGTGATTCCACACAGTTATACCTTTCATTTGAGCCTGAGTTCATGAGTTAGTTGAGAATATTCATTGTGCTAGCTGTACTTCCGTTATACTATTGAGTTGACTCCCTGATGAGGTTATTGGAGATTTGCTCGTGAACAACAAGTGCTATTCAGCCAATCAAATGCTAGTGTGATTCCACAAAGTCGTACCTTTCATTTGAGCCTTAGTTCATGAGTTAGTTGGGATTATTCATTGTGCTAGCTGTACTTCCGTTATACTATTGAGTTGACTCCCTGATGAGGTTATTAGAGATTTGCTCGTGAACAACAAGTGCTATTCAGCCAATCAAATGCTGGTGTGATTCCACACAGCTATACCTTTCATTTGAGCCTGAGTTCATGAGTTAGTTGAGAATATTCATTGTGCTAGCTGTACTTCCGTTATACTATTGAGTTGACTCCCTGATGAGGTTATTGGAGATTTGCTCGTGAACAACAAGTGCTATTCAGCCAATCAAATGCTAGTGTGATTCCACAAAGTCGTACCTTTCATTTGAGCCTTAGTTCATGAGTTAGTTGGGATTATTCATTGTGCTAGCTGTACTTCCGTTATACTATTGAGTTGACTCCCTGATGAGGTTATTGGAGATTTGCTCGTGAACAACAAGTGCTATTCAGCCAATCAAATGCTAGTGTGATTCCACAAAGTCGTACCTTTCATTTGAGCCTTAGTTCATGAGTTAGTTGGGATTATTCATTGTGCTAGCTGTACTTCCGTTATACTATTGAGTTGACTCCCTGATGAGGTTATTGGAGATTTGCTCGTGAGCAACAAGTGCTATTCAGCCAATCAGATGCTAGTGTGATCCCACACAGTTATACCTTGCATTTGAGCCTTAGTTCATGAGTTAGTTGAGAATATTCATTGTGCTAGCTGCCAATAACCTCATCAGGGAGTCAACTCAATAGTATAGCGGAAGTACAGCTAGCACAATGAATAATCCCAACTAACTCATGAACTCAGGCTCAAATGAAAGGTACAGCTGTGTGGAATTATATCTATGCCTGATTGGTTGAGTATACATTTGATTTCAAACTTAGATTAAATTTTTATTCTCCTAAGCAGATATAACCTTCTAAAAATGTAATATCATATAATTTCCCACACTTTTATGGTTTTTTAAAACAAACAATGATGCTTTAGGTCTGCATTCACATCTATGAACTGAATTTTTTAAGATCCAAACCAACACTTTCAATATAAACAACCTCTGTTAATTATATTTAATTATAATAATAGAAGAATATTGTATACCACAATGAGGAGACATGATCAAAGGTTATGCTCAGCCAAACAAATGATCAGAAGGTTAGTGCGCTTCAGAAAATGCATTGATCACCTGTCCCGGGTTAGGTGATGCTGGCGGACCCCGCCAGCACCGGCTAATAAGGATAGGAAATATGAAAAACAATCCCATAACCCTAACCCTAACCCATAGGCTATGTAATTTCGCATTCTGAACACTTCTTGTCACTCAAGCAAATGATGAAAATCAATCCTTGGCTCAGTATTCCTGTAGTGAATGGTAAACTTCGCATTTTTGCACCTTTTTCCCACTTCAAATTGTGCCCAATAGCTCCGGAGTTTCTGTATTTTATGTATTTTATCATTCTCAGCAACTTTACTCTATATACCTAAGTAATTGGGATAAGTTCTGCCCTTGTATTCACCAAAAAAAGGCCCTCAGAGCGAATTTTGTTCTTCTTTGCCTGTGGGAATATCCCCTAGCTCCCCTGGGTCATGTGCTTACAGAATACTTCAGAGGTTTTCTGTAAGCACATGACCCAGGGGGGCTAGGAGTCATCTTCTGGCTGTACTTCGCATTTTTGCTCAATTTAAATGGCAATTCCTGCTGCTACAAATTGCTCCCCACATCGGACTTATGTTTTCTTATATTCTGAACAACTTTGTCCACTCAAGCAAGTCATGAAAACAAAATCCTGACTCAGTAGAGCTCATTCTTCATGCTAACTTCGCATTTTTGAGCCTGTAGCTTGTCCTTAAAATATGCCAGCTATATACTGTCAATTGTATCCCATGTAATTTCGCATTCTGAGTACTTTTCTCCACTCAAGCAAGTTATGAAAATCAAATCCTGAGTCACTAGTCCTGTATTTGCTGTTGAACTTCGCATTTTTGCACCTTTTCACTCCCTTAAAATGGCCCTAAGTACTTCGGAGTTTTTGTATCTTATGCTTTTTATTATTCTGAACAACATTCCTCTATATACCTAAGCAATTGGAGCTGGTTCTGACCATGTTTCATTACAAAAAGTGTCATTAGAGCGAAATTTGAAGTCCCTAATGTGAGCTATTGACTGTGAGAAACTAATTTTGTAATGAGGTCGGAGTTGTGATGTATTGTAACTGTGAGAAAATGCGAAAACTCAGCTGCCTGAATAGGAAGGTCAGGGGAAAAGGGGAACAGGGGCGCATTAAATAAAACACAAAGATAATTCTACAGCTCAGGCCCAAGTGGGCCCAAGTGGACACAACAACATCCCAATCCTGAGGGATATATATAGGGAGGTCTGGGAGGTTGTTGTGTCCGCTTGGGCCCATTTTCCACATCCTTGTAGCCAGTATAGTGGTTTTGCAGGTAGTAATCCAGTTGCTGAATGATGAGGAAGTGGCCCAAGCGGACACAACAAGGCTTCCCATATAGCCTTGGGGTATACCTAGAGATGGTAAGTTGTTGTGTCCGCTTGGGCCCACTTTCTGAGACTTGGGCCCCCCTTCTCCTCGTCCCAAAACGGTATTTGGGCTATAGCACAAGGAGGAGGGCAGCTATCTCCGTAGGAATTTGATCAGTATACTCTCCTAGCATGCCCGGACATATTTTGTCACCTAACCCTGGCCTGGGGAGCGACGGTTGCTTCGCTACGCTCAGCGACATTCTCGACGAAGAAGGGGGCGTGGAGGGACAACGGGACAAGAAAAGCCGGACACAACAAGCTGATTACCCATCAGTAGACCCTAACGGAGGTGTGTGAAGTTGTTGTGTCCCAAACGGAGGAGGTCAGCGGAATAAGCTGCCTATTCCGTCGGATAATATAGATAGGTCAATGGTAACCAAACGACACTGGCCAGCAGCGCAAGGTGAGCAACACTTCACGTGCGTGGATATGGAACAACTCACCAATGTATTGCTTTCCCAGCGCCAGACCTAGCGTATCCCGATGCTCCGATACGGCGCCTTCCCGCGCGTTGCGCCATCCCCCCGCCCAAGGGACTGCAAACGCCTCACCCCGCCCAGTTGCCCAACGACGACACGCAGTGAGATTCCGCCGTAGCGATCGCGCGCGCTGGTGAAGGGGCTGGCGATCCCTTGGTTATGCTACTTCCCGTTACGCAAGGGCGGTGCACATCTGGTCGCAGAGTTGCTGCCGTCGAAGATGTGCGAGGGTCTTGAGGCCTTGAGGACGCTCAATGGCGTCCCCTTCGACGAAGAACAAGAGAGGGCGACGTGGGTTTGTAGTAGGCTGTTGGTAGTCGGTGGTAGCTGCTTTGAGGGTCAAGTGAGAGAGTTGCGTCGGATTGGG